GTTTGGACCTGGTTTAGAGTCCTGGTTTAGACCTGGTTTGGACCTGGTTTAGACCTGGTTTAGACCAACAATGCGAATACTTTCAGTCACTGTGTTAGAGTTTGCTGGATAAAAGTTGATATTTCTGTTAAATAAATGTAAAGTTTTATAAAAGGTAAAATGTCAAAGATTTCAGAGCAAAAATATGACGTTAGACAAAAGTCCAAAACTGTCTCTTTAACATTTGAGGTGATGTACAAACTTATTCTTGTCTATAGTTCTAAAATAACACTTAGTCTTTAAAAGTTCACTATGAAAGTTTGTTATGATTAAATGTAAAACAGAACAGAGTAATTTTGAGCTCAAGAGCTGCTTATACAATCCATCTGTACTGGGACGAGACTCATTTTATCACATATATGCGGGAAAACATTGGGCATGGGGCTTTTAAGTGGCTTCAATTGTTCATAATCAGGTCAAGAGCTCTTCTCTGGAGCATTAAAGCACAGATCTGTGAGCTTCATGCACAGGAAGAACAGTAACATCAGGATAAAAGTCAAACGCTCTCCACAAAACCTCCAAATATTTGGTCCTGATGTACGAGCTGGACTAAGAAACATTTCCTCTGAGGGGCCGGTTTCCGTGGGGATATTACTGCATGACCTGAAGTTCTGGTTTAGACCTGGATTAGACCTGGTTTAAGTCCTGGTTTAGAGACCTGGTTAGACCTGGTTTAACCCTGGTTTAGACCTGGTTTAGACCTGAATTAGACCTGGTTTAAGTTCTGGTTTAAGCCTGGTGTAGTCCTGGTTTAGACCTGGTTTAGTCTTGGTTTAGACCTGGGTTAGATCTGGTGTAGACCTGGTTTAGTCCTGGTTTTAGTCCTGGTTTAGACCTGGTTTAGTCCTGGTTTAAGTTCTGGTTTAAGCCTGGTGTAGTCCTGGTTTAGTCTTGGTTTAGTCTTGTTTAGTCTTGGTTTAGACCTGGGTTAGATCTGGTTTTGGTTTAGTCCTGGTTTTAGTCCTGGTTTAGTCCTGGTTTTAGTCCTGGTTTAGTCCTGGTTTAGTCCTGGTTTTAGTCCTGGTTTAGACCTGGTTTAGTCCTGGTTTAGTCCTGGTTTAGGTCCTGGTTTAGTCCTGGTTTTAGTCCTGGTTTAGACCTGGTTTAGTCCTGGTTTAGTCCTGGTTTTAGTCCTGGTTTTAGTCCTGGTTTAGACCTGGTTTAGTCCTGGTTTAATCCTGGTTTGGTCCTGGTTTAGTCCTGGTTTTAGTCCTGGTTTTAGACCTGGTTTAGTCCTGGTTTTAGTCCTGGTTTAGTCCTGGTTTAGTCCTGGTTTAGACCTGGTTTAGTCCTGGTTTAGTCCTGGTTTAGGTCCTGGTTTAGTCCTGGTTTTAGTCCTGGTTTAGTCCTGGTTTAGTCCTGGTTTAATCCTGGTTTGGTCCTGGTTTAGTCCTGGTTTTAGTCCTGGTTTAGACCTGGTTTAGTCCTGGTTTAGTCCTGGTTTAGTCCTGGTTTGGTCCTGGTTTAGTCCTGGTTTAATCCTGGTTTGGTCCTGGTTTAGACCTGGTTTAGTCCTGGTTTAGTCCAATCAGCTCAAGGACGCCCGTTTCTCCACAGACGCGGCGCTGCTGTTCACCGGGGGGGGGGGGGGGACCTATATGTTTCGGCGGCGCGCAGACGTCTCCCTCCACCAGGTGCCTATTTACTTGCGCTCAAATGAACGTGTTACGGCGCCGGTGCGAATCCCCCCGACTTCTTTATTACAGCTCTTATGTCACTAACTGTGCACAACTGAAAAGTCGGATAAGTGGTTATTTCTGCGGATAAAAGCGGCGCGAGGTGACGTATGGAAATGTGGAGAGTGCGCTGAAACGAGGACGTTCCACTGAAAGGTTTTTCTCTCGATGGATAAATTAAAGTTACGTAAATAAATACAGGTGGAGAATGTAGAGAAAAAAAAAGAAGAATTTGATTTAAAAAACAAAAAAAGGAGCCAGTCAGTACAGATGTAACGATATTCTAATCTCTCGGTGTGACATTTTCTCCTATTTCCTGGTTTTACTCCTGGTTTAGTCCTGGTTTAGACCTGGTTTTGGTTCTGGTTTAGTCCTGGTTTAGTCCTGGTTAAGACCTGATTTTAGCCCTGATTTTAGTCCTGGTTTAGTTCTGATTTAGTCTTGATTTTAGTCCTGGTTATAGTTCTGGTTTAGTCCTAGTTTTAGTTGTGGTTTAAGTTCTGGTTTAGTCCTGTTTAGTTTAGTCTGGTTTAGTTCTGGTTTAGCTCTGGGTTAGTCCTGGTTTTAGTCCTGGTTTTAGTCCTGGTTTTAGTTCTGGTTTAGTCCTGTTTTTAGTTCTGGTTTAGTCCTGGTTTTAGTTCTGGTTTAGTCCTGGTTTTAGTTCTGGTTTAGTCCTGGTTTTAGTCTGGTTTAGTCCTGTTTTAGTTTGGTTTAGTCTGGTTTAGTCTGGTTTTAGTCCTGGTTTTAGTTTTTAGTCCTGGTTTAGTTTTAGTCCTGGTTTAGTTCTAGTTTTGTTCTGGGTTTGGTTCTAGTCTAGTCCTGGGTTAGTCCTTGTTTAGTCCTGATTTAGTCTTGATTTTAGTCCTGGTTTAGTCCTGGCTTTAGTTTTGGTTTAGTCCTGGTTTCATCCTGGTTTTAGTCCTGGTTTTAGTTCTGGTTTAGTTCTGGTTTTAGTCCTGATTTAATCCTGGTTTTAGTCCTGGTTTAGTCTGATTTAATCCTGGTTTTAGTCCTGGTTTAATCCTGGTTTTAGTCCTGGTTTTAGTCCTGATTTAATCCTGGTTTTAGTCCTGGTTTAATCCTGGTTTTAGTCCTGATTTAATCCTGGTTTTAGTCCTGGTTTAATCCTGGTTTTAGTCCTGGTTTTAGTCCTGATTTAATCCTGGTTTTAGTCCTGGTTTAATCCTGGTTTTAGTCCTGGTTTAGTCCTGGTTTAGTCCTGGTTTTAGTCCTGGTTTTAGTCCTGGTTTAGTCCTGGTTTAGTGCACAGGTTGGAGACCAGGTTACAGGTCAGATCTGTGGACTGATGATTTAACTTTAACTGTTTTATTGTAGATGTTTTGTCCTGGTTTATGGGTCAGATTTCTGTCATTACAGCAACTGTCCACATGAAACTAAAACCGACACAAAGTTCAATGTCTGAGTCAGAAAATTAAAAAAATCCACAAAAGCCTCAAAAAGTATCAACATTATTCAGCCTCAAAGATGTGATCATTGTAAATTTAACGGACTTTAAAGCACAATATTAATACAGTATGACACGTTTGCAGTGTCTCTAACAAATAATGAGAAGGTTCAATATTTGTGGATCATAAATTTGACATTTCTTCTAAAAACAGTGAAGTTAAACTTTCCCCTGTATCTAAAATCATGTCATAAAAATAGACCAACACAAAACAACTGAATCACAACAAACCAGGAGGAGTGTAACGGTACATGTCGTCATGTCGACCGTTTCAGTGCGGGACATTCGGTGCAGAGCTGTGCACGAGTGAGTCTGAACTATTTGTGTGTCTTTATATTCCACCACGACATGTGCAGCTACACAGAGACTCGACTCTTTAATATTCACAAGGAACTCGTCCGTGATTGGAGCAGTGTTTCCCGCGGCGTTTTAGAGTTAAAGGTTGTACAGAGGATTTTTTAAGGGAAGCGAAATACAGCGACCGTCCTTTTTCAAATGTTGTGCATGTTTCAGTAGGAACATCTCCTCCTCCCGCCTCTTTACTCTAGAAATCACATTTGTTTACATCCAGTGCATGTTCAGAATTACTGTTGAAGTGACCTGCCTAGAAATATTTTAGCGACCGACGCGTCAGTTTTTAGACCCTTCGGACTTTCTTTTGCGGCGAACTGGTCGTTGGATTCTCGTCCGCCATCGCAACAAACTTTGTGCGAAATTGCAAGGAAGCTACAGTTTGAAAAAGCCTCAAAGAACCGCTGCATAAACCACGTAATCCCCGAGCGCCGACGAGTCAGTTACACTAAAAATGTAGGGAGTTTGACTGACAACCTAACAGCCAATAGAAAAAGAGGGAGCCTCGTTTTCTATTGGCTGATGTTTATCTTTCCTCACTACGTCCACAGTTGATAGATTTTCATACTTTCTTTTTTTTTCGATCATCATAATTACAAGGCTGCTGCGTCTCTGTAACGGTATTTTAAACTTTCAATGACAATTTTAAACAAAAAAAAAAATCCTCCATACAACCTTTAAGGCACCGCCTTGACAACAACTGCCCCCCCGCTGTGACGACATCCATCTGAACCTCACAAAACTACAGTCGTTTACTTTTAAAAAGTTTTGTTTACTGTTTACAAGGAATATATTTTTTATAATATTTAATATATATGTTGGTTATTTGAGAATATTTTATTTAACTTATTAGTTTTGCCAAGCAGCACTTGTACTTATTTTATTTTCACATTTGTAAAATGTTAAAACAAATAGTTGGTTTAATGAAAATATAAATAAACAACAAGAAAATGGTTTTGCATTTTGTTCCCAAACTGAACCGAAAATGAACTGAACCGTGACCTCAAAACCGAGGGACGTTTCTCTACAACAAAATAACTCCATGTCTCGAGCTAAAGGTGCATTGTGTAACTTTTCAGGTGGAAGGTTCATCAAAAGCTTTTCTCCATGGAGATATTATTGCTTTGTCTGGAATGTTTCACAGTATGGCATTAAACCTTTCTATTTTCATGGAGACCAAAACAGACGAGGTTACAGGTCAGATCTGTGGAGAGGCGACGCTGCTCACAGTCAGAATGTCTGTTTTTCTTGGTATTTTTGAGCTATAAAACCGCCTGTAATTGAATAAAATCATAAAGCAGAGCTGTTTAATGTCACACTGTGGAACATTCCAGGCTGAGCAATGAAGTATCCATAGAAACAAACAGGTGAACCCCCAGATCCACAGAAGTTTCACAGTTCAGCTTCAGCCGTGAGAGGAGTTTGACACAGTTCGGCGTCACACGGTGGATTAACGCGAGTGCACTTACCAGCCCGTCACAGTTGCTAATGGCGACGGTGGCTCGGGGCATGTCGCTCACGTCTCCGGTGAACACGCAATCTCCGTGAATCCGCTCTTTGGACTTTTCCTCAAAATCCTCCTGAAATTCCACAAACGCTCCGGGCGCCACAAGCCTCCTGTTGGCGCGGAGACGCAGGTGCAGCTCCTGGCCAAAAACGGTGACATTGAAGAAGAGGTGAGAAGAAGAAGAAGAAGAAGAAGAAGAGAGCGGACGGCTGAGGAGGAGGAGGTGAAGAGGAAGAAGAATCGTGGAGGTCTCTGGGTACTCTCCTCCGCTGGGCGCCTTCGGAGTTGGGGTGAAACGCCGGGTCGGGGCTGGGGTCGCTGGACGAAACCACGTGGGAGAGATAGCGCCCTCTGTAGTCGGTGCTGAAGGGAACCATGAGACCGAACTCACTCAACTTTCCAGAGAGTTTTTCTACAAAAGAGACAAAAAATGTGTTACAGGGTTCACACTTTTTTTCACTGACAAAATTTCCAAACTTTTCCATTACTTTTTCAGGAGTTAAAGTGAATTTTCCATGACTTTACAGCACCTACATGTGTAGAATTGATCAGACTCTTTCCACTCACCTTATGGTTTGGTTTTATAGTTTTTTTTTAATATTCAAAATCCTGTCAGTGTTGTGCAAGTTCACACTTTTCAAGAATTATTTCAATGTTCAGTTTTATTTTATTTTTAGGTGAGATATGTAAATGAAAGGCTCAACTTAAACATAAATTAAATAAATTAAAAACTCAAAAGGGCTTATATTAAAGCCTCCACCTTATGAATCCATTAAAAATTGAACATTATCGCTGTGCATAAAAAATATATGTATAAAATTTAGGGCTGGGCAAAAATAAAAAATATTAATTGCATTAATCGCATGAGTTCCGAGATTAATCGCATGTTATACGCAAAACCAATTAATGAATTAAAAAGTAGCGTATAGTGCACTTTGATTTGAAATGTAAATGAAAGAGTCAAATATTTGTTGTGTAAACAGTATTTCTTTCAGAGCTGAACCTCAGAGACTTCGATGTTTTCTGAAAGCTCAAGAAAAAATATTGAATGAATTTTTGTACTATTAATATATTTGTTCAATATTTTGTATGCAGTGAGTAATAAACACGACACTAGTAATAATTTCTAGATCGTTGTTATAAAGTTGGACTGATATTTCTTGGGAAACAAAGGGTTAATATAATGAAAAGGAAATGGACCAATCACAGTTTGTCTTCCAGTGGTTTCTGGGTAAATCAGTGACTCCCCCTGCAGCGCTGAACTAAACAAACACCTGCAGGACGTATACAGATGTATATTATTGTTATTATGGTGGCAATAATAATAAAAAATACAAAATAATAAATGAAAAAAATAACACAAATATAATATAAATATTATAAAAATATTAAAATTATGATACAAACTATGAATATTAATACATTTTTGGTAACAATAATAATGGAAACATTAATGGTAATGATGTGTGTGGTTTTGTGTGTTTGTTTTTTTCTTTTTGCTTGTACTATGTCCTGTTCCTGTGCACCTGCTTTTGGTTGATGTGTTTTACTTGAAGGCCACACCCAGGCTCTGTTTTAATTAAGCCCTGATGAAGACCAGTTAAGGTCGAAACATGTCGGCTTTGGCCATTCAAATAAAGCCCTTTTAACTATATTTTTCCTCGTGCGATGTGTTAACTTTTTCTATTGTTTTGGAGTGCTTTTAGTGTTAGAGTTTTGATCCTTTTTTCCAAGAGCGCCCTCTGCTTGCTCCTACTGATTGGAAAACCTGCAGCAAACAGCCACATTTTTGTTCTTTAAACACCTGCAGGACCTTCGGAGGCTGGAACGAAGTTTGAGATTGACAGTTGTCTGAGCCAATCATATTTCATTGGGATCATATCACAAAATCTTCCGGATACTGAAAAAACCCGATCATACCGGGGACACCGATGTGCTGTAAACACACTCACTGAGGGGGGTGTAACGATGTCCAAGTCTCACGATACGATATTGTCACAGTATGAACCTCACGGTACGATATTTCTTGAAATATTGTGGGAAAACTCTCGATATGATGGAGAGGCTCATGTTTAGGGATGTAACAATATCCAAACCTCTCTGTACGATATTTTCATGATGTACATCTCACGGTACGATATTTATTGTGATATTTTGTGGAGGCTAAACAAAACTGTTTATTTTCTATTTTTTCCTCTTAAAATGCCTTGATAAGACTTAATCCAAAGAACTAAGACTTAAACGTGTTAGAACTGTTATTTCTTCTTGTAGTTTGCACTGAAACGGAGCAAAGGATCATGGTCTATGTAGTTCCCTTTTTTTTTTTTTTTTTTTTTTTTTTTTTTTAGGTATTGCTGCACCATCACTCAAACTTAATTTAAAGTTTGTATGGAGGATTTTTTTTTAGTTTCAAATTGTCAATGAAAGTTTAAAATTCCATTACAGAGATGCAGCAGCTTTGTAATTATGATGACCCAAAAAAAAAAAAAAAAAGAAAATCTGTCAACTGTGAACATAGTGAGGCCAGATAAACATCAGCCAATAGAAAACAAGGCTACCTCATTTTCTATTGGCTGTCAGGTTGTCAATCAAACTCCCTACGTTTCTAGTGTAACTGACTCACAGGCGCGCAGGGATTACGTGGTTTATGCAGCGGTTCTTAGAGGATTTTTCAAACTGTAGCTTCCCCGCAGTTTGCACAAAGTTTGTTGAGATTGCGGACGAGAATCGCTCATCAGTTCGCCGCAAAAGAAAGTTACTGAAGTCACTGAAAGAAGAAGAGAAGGGGAAAAGGAGCCAAACTGAGGTGATTCTTGGAGATCTCTTCCAGCGATTGTGCGAATGAAGCGGACAAAGGGTCTAAAAACTGATGTGTCCGTCTCTAAATTATTTCTAGACAGGTCACTTCAGCAGTAATTCTGAAAGCGATTTCTAGAGTAAAGAGGCGGGAGGAGGTGTTTCTACTGAGGCTGTGGAGGAGGAAGGTGGTGTCACGCATGCGCAACATTTAACAAAGGACTGTCGCTGTATTTCTCTTCCCTTAAAAAATCCTCTATACAACCTTTAAGCAAAGAGACTTGGACGCGTAGGAGTCCCTGCTTAGACTTCTGCCCCCACAAACAAAGAAAATAGATGGATGGACTGGATGGACATATTATGATGGTCAACGATATTATTGTTAGAACTTTGACGATACGATATCACGATATTTCAGTTATTGTTACTTCTCTATCAGTCATCTTCAAGGAGCCAGAGCCCAAACGTGGGACTGTGAGGCCGAGACTCCAGTGTTTGTGTCAGACGCAGCCTCGTCTCTTTACACTCCGCACGGCGACCTACATTTGTATTGTCAATTAAAAATGAACGTGATCGACTTAATGATTGATTATTGATTAGTCGACTAATTATCCTCATCCCTACTTCACACTACGTTATAGAGCCCCGACCGATATATTGGCCGGCCGATATTATCGGCCAATATGAGCACCTGGAAGCATATCGGCTATCAGCTTGCTGATATGGGCCGATATTTCACGTGGGCATGTTATACCTCGTTATAAAGCTTAGACTCTCTACATTATGTTAATTTAATCCAATTTACAGACAGATAAATGTCCTAATATGTGGCTCGCATCAGTATTTATCTACGGTGTAATTTGTCTGTGTCTGTGTCGTACTGTCCCTGACAACACACCAGAGTGACGTCACTTCACTCACGTGTGTTTGTTTTACACCCGCAGACGTGCGCAAACACTGAGATTATTTTCTTTTTCAGACAATCGGTTTGAGTCTGGATTAAAAGACATTTATTAGTGCAGACTTGTGATGTTGAGGAGGAGCCTGTGTGAGCGGCGAGTGTTGGAAACATCGACTTTGAAGCTAGTTTAGGTTTGTTAGCGATTAGCTGCTGTAGCTCCCACACATAAACAGGCTGTTTTCTATTGGTCTATTGTAAGTGACTATATTGGCCGTATATTTGTTACTGGACAAGCATTGATATGTAAATAAGATGTGAAATAGACGTGTGAATGATTCACATTTATGCATATAATTAATTCCCGCAGTGCACGTTTTACGGCTAAAGGCTAATAGCGGTAGTTTCTTTTACTAGCTAGGAGTTATGGTCGGCCGATCGAAGCGGCTCTTAAATCCGCTCTTTGAAGCGAACGACGGAGCCTGCTTCTTATTGGAGCCGGTTTTCTCTTTTTCTCACTTTTTCTCTTCAAGCCGCATGTCGACCCGTAGTTTGACAGCAGCAGCGGCTGAAAACGAAACTTTCAGAAATCGTGTGCATAAGATAAAAAAAGCATATTTTGGCTGCAGTTCAGCATAAAATGAATAAAGCAGGACTAATCTTGGTCTTGCGAGAGAGAAGAGACTGAGTCCCGACACTCAGTCCTGGTTCAGTTTGGTTTAGTCCTGTTTTTACACATGGTTTTATATCTGTTTTTAGTCCTGGTTTAGTCCTTTTTCAGTCCTGGTTCAGTTTCTGCATTAGACCTGCTTGCAACAAAAGCAATCTCTAGAGTCGCTTGGGGCCGAAAGAGCCAGCTGCTTTAGTGAGCTGAGCCAAAAGAGCCGGTTCTCCAAAAAAAAAAAAAATGGAATCCATCACTAGTAGCTAGAATGTGATGCAAAAATGCCATTAGGCCAATTTACTGTATGTAAATATGATGTAAAGAGTCAAAATAACAATAAATGTTGCCAAATAAACCCAATTTAGAATCCACTAGAGCCAAACTAAGTTTTTTTTTAAACAATTCAAGATTTACAGTGAATTTTTACTCACTAAATATATCGGTGATTATAATCGGCTATCGGCAGCTCCAACTCCCATTATATTGGTTCATATCGGCACAACAAATCCATATCGGTGGGGCTCTATACTACGTTACCCAAGATGCACTGCACACACAAGCGCTCTGTGGTGAGGCGGTGCAGTTTTCGAGTGGAGGAGCCCTGGTCACTCGACTCATCAGGTGAAAACAAAGTCTGACGTTTAATTGAACTCAACAGTGACGTACGTCGTTCATCTCACATAATCTGAACAAAATAACGATCAAGTTCCTGATATAAATGTGTTGTGTCCAGTTTAAAGTTCAATGAAGGCGTTGTTTTAAACTCACACAACGCTCACTGTCAGTGCGTTTACTGTCGTCTCTTTTAAACAAAAAGTTCAGACGTTTGGAAATAATCATATAGTCGAATGATAATTTAACAGAACGCTGTAGTTGTGTGAAAGAGAATCACTTTCACACAGCACTAACGCACATGGCAACTTGGTGCAAGATCTGAACGAGCTTTAAAAGTGATCAGTAAAATCTCAAAATCAATTCTAACACACACACAGGCAGCAGTAGTATTTCTGTTATTGACAAAGCACTGAGAAACAGAGAAACACAGAAATGAAACAAATATACTTTGAACATGAACTGGTTCTTTCAACTGGTTTAGTGCTGGGAATTATTACTGTTTAATTTGGGTTTAATTTTGGTTTAGTTCAGATTTATTCCTGGGATAGTCCTAAATTAGTCCTGGTTTAGTCCTAGTTTAGTCCTGGTTTAGTTCTGGTTTAGATCTGGTTTAGTCCTGGTTTAATCCTTGTTTAGTGCTGGTTTAGTCCTAGTTTAATCCTGTTTAAGATGTTGTTTAGTCCTGGTTTAGTCCTAGTTTAGTCCTGGTTTAGTCCTGGTTTAGTTCTGGTTTAGTTCTGGTTTAGATCTGGTTTAGTCCTGGTTTAATCCTTGTTTAGTGCTGGTTTAGTCCTAGTTTAATCCTGTTTAAGATGTTGTTTAGTCCTGGTTTAGTCCTAGTTTAGTCCTGGTTTAGTTCTGGTTTAGTTCTGGTTTAGATCTGGTTTAGTCCTGGTTTAATCCTTGTTTAGTGCTATTTCACTCCTGGTTTCATCCTGGGTTCGTCCTGGTTTAGTTCTAGTTTAGACCTAGTTTAATCCTGTTTAAGATGTTGTTTAGTCCTGGTTTAGTCCTAGTTTAGTCCTGGTTTAGTCCTGGTTTAGTCCTGGTTTCATCCTGGTTTTGTCCTGGTTAAGATATTTAGTCCTGGTTTAGTCCTAGTTTAAACCTGGTTTGTTTAGACCTGGTTTAGTCCTAGTTTAGTCCTAGTTTACTCCTGGTTCATCTGGTTAGTTCCTGGTTTAGTCCTGGTTTAATCCTTGTTTAGTGCTATTTCACTCCTGGTTTCATCCTGGTTCGTCCTGGTTTAGTTTAGTTTAGTCCTGGTTTAATCCTGTTTAAGATGTTGTTAGTCCTGGTTTAGTCCTAGTTTAGTCCTGGTTTAGTCCTGGTTTAAGTCCTGGTGTAGTCCTGGTTCAGTCCTAGTTTAGTCCTGGTTTAAGTCCTGGTTAAGTCCTGGTTTAGTCCTGGTTAAGATGTGGTTTAGTTTTTGACGAGAAAACAACATTATAACACAACTTAAAGCTCTCAAGAGTCAGTCTTGCATAATATAAGGTAAAGTAGGACCTTGTCTTAATTGTTTAATTGTTACGGCTGATTACAAAACACAACACGCTCAATTATTGTATAAAAATGTACGATTACAGGAGCTGTCGCCGCCTCCTCCTCCCACGACCAGCTCAAAAACTCTGAACACAGGTGTCAGATCCACAGTAATCCCATTAAACCGGGTCAGAACCGGGTCAGAACCGGGTCAGAACCGGGTCAGAACCGGGTCAGATAAAGAACCGACAATTAAAAGTTAGTCGAGTAAAAGTTGAGTTACTGTTTATATTATGAAATGTTTTATAAAAAGTCAAGATTTCAGTGTAAAAATGTGATGTTAGATAATAGACCTGGTTTAGTCCTGGTTTAGTCCTGGATTAGTTCTGGTTTAGACCTGGTTTAGACTTGGTTTAGTCCTGGATTAGATCTGGTTTAGTCCTGGTTTAGACCTGGTTTAATTCTTGTTCAGACCAAGTTAAAACCTGGTTTAGTCCTGGTTTAGTCCTGGGTTAGACCTGGTTTAGTCCTGGTTTAGTCCTGGTTTAGACCTGGTTTAGTCCTGGTTTTAGTCCTCGTTTAGACCTGGTTTAGTCCTGGTTTAGATCTGGTTTAGTCCTGGTTTAGTCCTGGTTTAGTCCTGGTTTAGACCTGGTTTAGTCCTGGTTTAGTCCTGGTTTAGTCCTGGTTTAGTCCTGGGTTAGTCCTGGTTTTAGTCCAGGTTTAGTCCTGGTTTAGACCTGGTTTAGTCCTGGTTTAGTCCTGGTTCAGTCCTGGTTCAGTCCTGGGTTAGACCTGGTTTAGTCCTGGTTTAGTCCTGGGTTAGACCTGGTTTAGTCCTGGTTTAGTCCTGGTTTATCCTGTTTATCTGATTGTCTCCATGGAGATTATATTTTAATTTTAATTTATCTCGATGAACACCGGGAGTTACAGGTCAGATCTGTGGAGAGGCGACTCCACTCACAGTCAGAATTCTGAGCATTTAAAAACACCAGTAATTGAATAAATGAAGACAGACAAGTCTAATGCCAAACTGCGGAAGAAATAACATCTCCATGGAGACAAGCAGGTGAGAAGATCATCCACAAAGTTCCACAGTGTTTCTTTAACGCAGAAGGACAAGAGGTTTAGACCAAAGTCACAGACGCCAACTGGAAAAGATCATTTTCTCTTTGTCTGAACCGAGGAGATAAAGACTAAACCAGGACTAAACCTGGACTAAACCTGGACTAAACCAGGACTAAACCTGGACTAAACCAGGACTAAACCTGGACTAAACCTGGACTAAACCTGGACTAAACCAGGACTAAACCTGGACTAAACCAGGACTAAACCTGGACTAAACCTGGACTAAACCAGGACTAAACCTGGACTAAACCAGGACTAAACCTGGACTAAACCAGGACTAAACCTGGACTAAACCAGGACTAAACCTAAACCAGGACTAAACCAGGACTAAACCAGGGACTAAACCAGGACTAAACCAGGACTAAACCTGGACTAAACCAGGACTAAACCTGGACTAAACCTGGACTAAACACCAGGACTAAACCTGGACTAAACCTGGACTAAACCAGGACTAAACCTGGACTAAACCTGGACTAAACCTGGACTAAACCTGGACTAAACCTGGACTAAACCTGGACTAAACTGGACTAAACCTAAACCTGGACTAAACCTGGAGGACTAATAAACCTGGACTAGGACTAAACCAGGACTAAACCACAGGACTAAACCAGGATAAATATAATATATTATAAGTTGTTTAATATTACTTTTTAATGTTCATTTAATTTCATTTGACAGATCAGTTGCTTTGTAAACGTGACCAAACTGAAAGTTAATGAAAGTTTTGCATAACTCACATTAACAAAGCAAATCCATCCTAAAAAACATCCACAATTTACCAGTTTAACACACAACTCCTTTGTGACTCATCTGTCAAAACCCAATCAAATAAACCAGTGTGGTCCAGTTAGTGGAACACAAAGTTCAAACCAGGGACTAGTCCAGGTTTAGTCCTGATTTAGTCCTAGTTTAATCCAGGTTTAGATCTGGTTTAGACCTGGTTGTTTAGTCCAGGTTTAGTCCTGGTTTAGTCCTGGTTTGTCTGGTTTAATCCTGGTTTAGCTCTGGTTTAGTCCTGGTTTGGTTCTGGTTTAATCCTGGTTTAGCTCTGGTTTAGTCCTGGTTTGGTTCTGGTTTAGTCCTGGTTTAGTCCAGGTTTAGTCCTGGTTTAGTCCTGGTTTAGACCTGGTTTAGTTCTGGTTTAATCCTGGTTTAGCTCTGGTTTAGTCCTGCTTTGGTCCTAGTTTAATCCTGGTTTAGACCAAGTTAAGACCTGGTTTAGTCCTGGTTCAAGTCTAATTTAGTCCTGGTTTAGTCCTGGTTTAGACCTGGTTTAGTCCTGGTTTAGACCCCACTTAGTCCTGATTTAGTTCTAGTTTAGTCCTGGTTTGGTCCTGCTTTGGTCCTAGTTTAGTCTAGGTTTAGACCAAGTTAAGACCTGGTTTAGTCCAGGTTTAGTCCTGGTTTAGACCTGGTTCAGGTCTAATTTAGTCCTGGTTTAGTCCTAGTTTAGTCCTGGTTTAGTTCTGGTTCAGGTCTAATTTAGTCCTAGTTTAGTCCTGGTTTAGTCCTGGTTTAGTCCTGGTTTAGTCCTGGTTTAGTCCTAGTTTAGTCCTAGTTTAGTCCTGGTTTAGTCCTGGTTTAGTCCTGGTTCAGGTCTAATTTAGTCCTAGTTTAGTCCTGGTTTAGTCCTGGTTTAGTCCTGGTTTAGTCCTGGTTTAGACCTGGTTTAGTCCTGTTTTAGTCCTGGTTTAGACCTGGTTTAGTCCTAGTTTAGTCCTGGTTTAGTCTAATTTATCTGTTAAATCACAGTAACAAACTAAATCGAATCAAACTAAATGTGTTAAAAATCACAAAAACCTCCAGAGTTTAAACTTTGAACTCTTCTCTTTTACATCTCATGTGTCAGATAAACCCGTCCTGGTCCTGGTCCTGGTCCTGGTCCTGGTCCTGGTCCTGTCGTACACAAAGTTCACATCGGGGACTATTGATCCGCGTGGCCCGCAGCTACCAGCCCGTGTCAGGTCCATCGATGTGAACAGGCTCCGTTTGTCCCACCACAAAGCCCGTCTATGCGAGCACCGAGCAGCACAATGCAGCCCCGCTCCAGCGTGCGTCCGTGGAGCGTACGCAGCTATTTTAATACTTACCATGTGTTTCTACGGCCGCTATCCGATGCAAAACGAGACAAAAGCACCAAAGCGGCAAGTAGAGCCAATCCATCGCGTGAAACGTCCGTGCCAAAACGCGTCAAGCGGCCAGAAACGTCGTCCAAAAGTCGCAAAGTTAATGGAAAAGTTAAACGAAAAAGCCGGGCATTTTTGTTGTTTTTTTTTTTGGTTTGCTTTTAAGTCCAAGAAAAGTAACAGGGGTTCCTTTTGGGTTTTTTTTTTTTTATTTTTGTCCCAATGTGTGCATGGTTAAGTCCTGGTTTAGTTCTTCTTAAGTTTAGGTTGAGTTTGGTGCTGGTGGACGCCGAAAAACTGCGCGGAACAAAACAAAAACGCCAAACGAAACTTCATCCATTTACGGGGGGAGTTGAAAACGCGTGTCTCGGTGGAGTTTGGTGGGTTTCCCGTGCGCTTTCGGGGGTTTTTTTTGGGGAGGACTTTTTGGAGGAGAAGTTGCCCGAGGTTTGCAGCAGCGGTGAGGGGGGAACAGCTGTCATCCAGAGGCTTCGCTCCGCTCGCTGCGCGCTGGAGCCGAGAACTGCCCCCAGCTCCGCTCAGCCGCCGGTCAAGTTTGGAGAGAGACGGGCCCGGGCAGGGGGAGTGAACCACGCGCACGTCCAGGGCCGTGCGCACGAGCACGAGCCTGGGACGGGTCAGGAAGTTGGTCCCTGGTTTAGTCTAACCCCCCCCCCCCGCCCGCTCCCCGTTTGAGACCTGGTTTAGTCCAAGTTTACAGATGGTTTAGTTTGTGTTTGGTTTTATTCCAAGTTTTAGTCCCATTGTGGTTTATTCCTGTTTAGTCCGGGTTTAATCCTGGTTTAGACCTGGTTTAGTCCCAGTTTAGTCCCAGTTTAGTCCTGGTTTAATCCTGGTTTAGACCTAGTTTAGTCCTGGTTTAGCTCTGGTTTAGTCCTGGTTTAGCTCTGGTTTAGTCCTGGTTTAGACCTGGTTTAGTCCCAGTTTAGTCCTGGTTTAATCCTGGTTTAGACCTGGTTTAGTCCCAGTTTAGTCCTGGTTTAATCCTGGTTTAGACCTAGTTTAGTCCTGGTTTAGCTCTGGTTTAGTCCTGGTTTAGCTCTGGTTTAGTCCTGGTTTAGACCTGGTTTGTCCCAGTTTAGTCCTGGTTTAATCCTGGTTTAGACCTGGTTTAGTTTAGTCTGGTTTAATCCTGGTTTAGACTAGTTTAGTCCTGGTTTAGTCTGGTTTAGTCCTGGTTTAGCCTGGTTTAGGTTTAGTCCTGGTTTAGACCTGGTTTATACCTGGTTTAGTCCTGGTTTAGACCTGGTTTAGTCTGGTTTAGTCCTGGTTTAGACCTGGTTTAGCTCTGGTTTAGTCCTGGTTTAGACCTGGTTTAGCTCTGGTTTAGTCCTGGTTTAGTCCCAGTTTAGTCCTGGTTTAGCTCTGGTTTAGTCCTGGTTTAGTCCCAGTTTAGTCCTGGTTTAGTCCTGGTTTAGCTCTGGTTTAGTCCTGGTTTAATCCTGGTTTAGACCTAGTTTAGTCCTGGTTTAGCTCTGGTTTAGTCCTGGTTTAGTCCTGGTTTATACCTGGTTTAGCTCTGGTTTAGTCCTGGTTTAGTCCTGGTTTAGCTCTGGTTTAGCTCTGGTTTAGTCCTGGTTTAGACCTAGTTTAGACCTAGTTTAGTCCTGGTTTAGCTCTGGTTTAGTCCTGGTTTAGTCCTGGTTTATACCTGGTGTAGCTCTGGTTTAGTCCTGGTTTAGTCCTGGTTTATACCTGGTGTAGCTCTGGTTTAGTCCTGGTTTAGTCCTGGTTTATACCTGGTGTAGCTCTGGTTTAGTCCTGGTTTAGTCCTGGTTTATACCTGGTTTAGCTCTGGTTTAGTCCGTCTTTTGATCGTTACTCCAGGTTTTAGTCCTAGTCTTTCAATCCTGGTACAGTTCACTGTGCACTAGTCCTGGTTTAATCCTGGTTTAGCTCTGGTTTAGTCCTGGTTTAGTCCATTTTTTAGTCGCTAGTCCAGGGCCTAGTCCTAGTCCTTAAATCCGGGTTTGTAGCGCACTGTGCACTGGTCCTGGTTTAGTCCTAGTTTAGTCTGAGTTTAGTCCTGGTTTAGTCCAAGTCTAGAGCTGGTTTAGTCTGTCTTTGGTTTTTACTCCAAGTTCTACTCCCGTTGTAGTTTAATCCTGTTTAAATTTGGTTTAGTCCCGGTTTAGTCCAAGTCTAGAGCTGGTTCAGTCCTGGTTCAGTCCTGGTTCAGTCCTGGTTCAGTCCTGGTTTAGTCCAAATGTAGACCTGGTTAGTCCTATAGTGGTTTAGACCTGGTTAGTCATGACCCAGTCTTGTTTAGACTCGGCTGGAAATTGCAAAGCTCTAATTAAGGTTTGGTCCTGGTTCAGACCCAGTTTGTCTGTTTCAGATCTGGTCAGTCCTGATCCTGGTTTAGACCTGGTTGAGTCCAAGTTTACTCCAGGTTTAGCCCTGTTTTAGCTCTGGTTTAGTCCTGGTTTAGTCCTGGTTAGTCCTTTAGTCCTCAGGTTTAGTCCTGGTTTAGTCCTTAGTCTTTAGTAGTCCTCAGGTTTAGTCCTGGTTTAGTCCTGGTTTAGTCCTTTTAGTCCAGGTTTAGTCCTGGTTTAGTCCTGGGTTTAGTCCTCTGGTTTAGTCCTGTTTTTAGTCCTGGTTTAGTTAGTCCTCACTTTAGTTTACCTGTTAGGTTTAGTCCTCTTTAGGGTTTAGTCCTGGTTTAGTCCTGGTTTAGTCCTCTTCCAGGTTTTAGTTCCAGGTTTTAGTCCTGGTTTAGTCCTGTCCTTAGTCCTTTTAGAGTCCAGGTTTAGTCCTGGTTTAGTCCTGGTTTAGTCTGTTCCTGGTTTTAGTCCTGGTTTAGTCCTGGTTTAGTCCTGGTTTACACTTTTAGAGTCCAGGTTTAGTCCTGGTTTAGTCCTCACTTTTTAGTCCTGGTTTAGTCCTCACTTAGACCAGTTTAGTCCTGGTTTAGTCCTGGTTTCACTTTTAGACCAGGTTTAGTCCTGGTTTAGTCCTCTCACCTTTTAGTCCTCACCAGGTTTAGTCCTGGTTTAGTCCTCACTTAGACCAGGTTTAGTCCAGTCCTGTTTAGTTCTGGTTTAGTCCTCATTTAGACCAGGTTTAGTCCTGGAGTCCTGGTTTAGTCCTCTCTTTAGTCCTGACCTCAGGTTTTAGTCCTGGTTTAGTCCTCACTTAGACCAGGTTTAGTCCTGGTTTAGTCCTCACTTAGACCAGGTTTAGTCCTGGTTTAGTCCTCACTTAGACCAGGTTTAGTCCTGGTTTAGTCCTGGTTTACTTCTGTTTTAGTCCTGGTTTAGTCCTCACTTAGTCCAGGTTTAGTCCTGGTTTAGTCCTCACTTAGACCAGGTTTAGTCCTGGTTTAGTCCTCACTTAGACCAGGTTTAGTCCTGGTTTAGTCCTCACTTAGACCAGGTTTAGTCCTGGTTTAGTCCTGGTTTACTTCTGTTTTAGTCCTGGTTTAGTCCTGGTTTAGTCCTCGCTTAGACCAGGTTTAGTCCTGGTTTAGTCCTCACTTAGACCAGGTTTAGTCCTGGTTTAGTTCTCCTGGTTCCACACAGACTAGACTCGTAGCTGTGGGAGACCTGAGTCAGAGGGAAGCCCTGAAGACTGTGTTTACTCTGGAGCACAAACACATGTCACTGATTACACACACACACACACACACACACACACACACACGCACACACACACACACACACACACACACACACACACACACACACACACACACACACACACACAGGGGGCGCTAGAGAGGGGCCTGGACTCCGTATAAAGAGACAGAGATGAAATACTCACATAAATAAACATACAAATACAAATACAAACCGTCCTGGAAATCCTCAACCTTCAATTAAAAGTCGATCTCACTCAACTCTAACCCGCTCGGACTTTTTAACTTGTGATTTGTGGGACCAATATAGCTTTCAGATTTGGCAATAAACAATTCAAAACATCTCGGTTGTGTTTTGATTGGTCCAGAGTCCTCAAAATGGCGCCCTTAAAAGGAAAAGGTCATGTTACTGAAGCCTTTTAAACTCTCAAGGCATTTCTGAACTCAAATGTCGCGTGTTTAAGGTCAATCTGTGTGTCATTCGTACATTTGTTTTGCGAAATAAAACCAAAAATAAGAAAAGGAAAAAGCAGTTATTTTCTTCGTTATTTGTCTTGAAAACCAAAAAGAAAAAACAGATAATGATTTGTTTTTTCAGTTTTCGATTTTGTGTTTAAATGAAAAATGGAAAAAAAATAGATAATGTCCGTTTACCGTTTCATCCAATATTGACCCTTATGGACTGAACCAGGATTGAACCAGGACTGAACCAGGACTGAACCAGGACTAAACCAGGACTGAACCAGGATTGAACCAGGACTGAACCAGGATTGAACCAGGACTGAACCAGGATTGAACCAGGACTGAACCAGGACTGAACCAGGATTGAACCAGGATTGAACCAGGATTGAACCAGGACTGAACCAGGATTGAACCAGGACTGAACCAGGACTGAACCAGGACTGAACTAGGACTGAACCAGGACTGAACCAGGACTGAACCAGGACTAAACCAGGACTGAACCAGGATTGAACCAGGACTGAACCAGGACTGAACCAGGACTGAACCAGGATTGAACTGAACCAGGATTGAACCAGGACTGAACCAGGACTGAACCAGGATTGAACCAGGACTGAACCAGGACTGAACCAGGACTGAACCAGGATTGAACCAGGACTGAACCAGGATTGAACCAGGACTGAACCAGGATTGAACCAGACTGAACCAGGACTGAACCAGGATTGAACCAGGACTGAACCAGGATTGAACCAGGACTTGAACCAGGACTGAACCAGGACTGAACCAGGACTGAACCAGGACTGAACCAGGACTGAACCAGGACTGAACCAGGATGAAACCAAGGACTGAACCAGGACTGAACCAGGACTGAACCAGGACTGAACCAGGACTGAGTGTCTGGATGGGCCCGGAGGTGCGCCCGTGTAGACCGTCAGGTGACCGCAGGCGAAAGGACCGGAACAGAACTCCGCGCCCCATGGAGCTAAATCAGCTCCACGGGCTCTGGGTCCCGTCTCTCTCTCTCCCAAGTCCAAGATTAGTCTTGGTTTAGACCTGGTTTAGTCCTAGTTCAGTCCTGATTCAGTCCTGGTTCAGTCTGTAAGGGTCAACACTGGATGAAACGGGAAACGGCTGTTATTGTTGTTGTTGTTTTTTTTTTGTTTTTTTGTTTTTTCAATTATTCATTTAAACACAAAATCTAAATTTAAACAAGCAAATCGTTATCCCTTTTTTTTTTTTTTTTTTCATTTTCATTTTGGTTTTGGAATATATATATATATATAGTTGTTGTTTTTATTTTCTTATGGCCTGTTCAGACCGCGGCGTCAAAAAATGCCCTAGACGCCTCTATCTGGACGCCTTTGCATTGGAGTTCAGACGCCCCCGACGCCGTGGACGAACGAGAGAAAAATACTTGACGCGCGTCCGTTGCCCTGGAAACAAGT